ATAGTGGCTGAGACACTTGACCGCTAACCAGAAGGCCAGAAGGCTGGTGGTTCAAACCCACCAACCACTCCTCGGAAGTAAGATGGGGCAATCTACTTCCGTAGTGATATTGCCTCGGAAACCCAAGGAGGGGTCGCTATGAGTCAGGTCCGACTCGATGGCACATAACAACAACAACATATGTATATATATATATAGCATGACCACTTCTTTAAAACAATAGTAAAAAGATTGAAAGGAAACACAATAACGTTGATAGTGGTCATCTGTGGTTGACTAATAAGTTATTTTTTCTTATTTCTATTTTTCTACATATTAAGTATTTTTTTAAAAAATAATAATCACATATTCCTATTATAGTCAGAAAAAAAAAACAATGAAACGTTTTTTAAAGGCTACTCTGCGAAACTGTACTCCTGTTTCTTGAGTGAATGAACCCATTGCCATCAAGTGGATTCTGATTCATAGCTACCCTGTGGGACAGAGTAGAACTGCTCTATATGGTTTCCAAGGCTATGAATCTTTACCAAAGCAGCCTGTTACTACTTCTGTGGAACCACGAGTGGATTTGAACTGCTGACCTTTCAGTTAGCAGCCAAACACTTAACCAATACACCACCAGGATCCCCTAGTGAATGACCAAATGATCTTATCTCAAAAGTCAAGTAAGCTGTGAATGTTGGAGTCTTCCGTGCAATCAATTCAATCACATCTACTTGCATAATTCCATTGACACTTAGCATCTTCACGTAAAGTGTCTCAAAGACACTAATTCTCACAAAGTCTTTTACCACAGTAGGTAGCCAGTCAAGGATATGTTGGCAACATGTTTTAAGGATCAATGGAAAATATCCATTGATCTTCAAAATGCCTTACGTAATTAGGAAAATGAAAACATTGTCTGGCTTTCCACAGTCACAAGATAGCATTTACTTACTCATATTGATCTAAGTTGTTTGATTTCTTTTCTGTTACATAGTTACTTGGGATATAACCTTCACTCCTAGAAATAAGAAAAACACTTTAGATAAAGTCTGAAATTACTGAGATTTTGTAAAAAGTAACAAAGCCATTGTCTTCTTGAGATAATCAAAACACATTCTTTCGTCAAACTTATATACACAACATGAGCTGACTCTCAATAATTCTATATAAATATAGCATTTGGCAGTTTACAAAGTACTGTTGTGCCCAGGTTATGTAGGAGTTGTTCGGCGTGAGGAATTTGCCAACACACAACAATGCAAAAGCAATAGGAAAGTTTATTAGCTAACTTAAGTTAGGGTCCTTGCTCTCACCAAATCAGTGGCTTGAGCAAAAGACCCCGTGCTCTTACAT